GCGACCTAAAGGCGCGCATTTTAAAACTAGTCCCAAGATAATAGGACAATAAATAGAATTTTAACATATATTTTAATATTTTGACCAAAAGCCTATTTATAATCTTTCAAGTGTTCGGACATCAAGTTTCATGTTATATCTTTCATTTTGGTATCAAATTGTGTGCAATCTAAAGGCGCTTATTTTAAAACCACTATCAGATTGATCTGATAAAATTTAAATTTTTAACAAATATTTTAATGAGTGACTCAGTGCTGCGTCGTTGGAACCTATTCAGTAGAACATTGAGTGACGAGATAGTCAGTCAGTGGAACCCGAAAGATGATGCCTTTGATATGCCTTTTGGTTGCAAAATGAAACCAATATAGCTTATCGGTAGTGTTGGATATGACCCGGTCAACCAGACTTGGCCCCGAGGATCACACACAAGTGATCCTCGGATCGTGGGTGAGGCTAGTGTGATCACCTGTCACCTGTTGTTCCAGGTAGTTGTTGCTAATTCTTCTTCCCCGTCAATCTCACCTGTCAAGAGGGGCACGTATAATAATAGTAACCAATATATAACAGTTACATCAGGGAAAATGAGTATTATGATTAATTAATAATATTTACCCCACCGGGTGGCTCGCCTTGTGTCCTCACCGGCCTATCCTAATCTATATTACTGGCCAGAAATAGCTGGATTTAATGGGTTATCGGGTACTGAACACTTCCCTTAGTGTTGATGATGGGAGATGTGTACAGCCCACACCACTGCGTCTAGAGGGAAATAATTGCGGAGCTTCAAGCGTGCTCGAGACGAGGCTTTTGTTATGATAATATTAACGGTGTCCCCCCCCCCCCCCCTCCCGGCTCAAGAGACGCGTCTCTCGCCAGTTCCTAATTCTTCGTTATTGACTTAAGGAGGTAGGCTATGAATTTACTAGTTATTTAATTACATTCAGTCCTGTGGAACACTTTTTTATCCTATTTAATCCCCCAGACTGGTAGACTTTAGGATACGTGTTATACGTAAATGAATATTTGATGACGTGTCAAACATCAAATTTTCTCTGAACGGCCACGAAATCCATTCTTTGAGATAAAGTTGGTAAATAAGTAAAGTTAGTATGTTCCTGACATGATCGTTTTTGGTTGGTATGGCAGGTGTTAGTAGTTTGGTGTCGAATTTCCCGAGATCGGTCTCTCAACACTCACCACAACTTTAGGATCAGAAACGGAAATAAAGAAATAGAAACGCGTCCTTGGAGAACAATTGTGGCAATTGTCCACAATTGTTAATTGCCAAACAACCACGATGCTGGGAAAGTTTAAGCAATAAACGAAGCAATGAGGAATCAAGAGTATGAGGCTGCAGGAAACGTTTGTATAACGTCACTTTTGTGTGAAGAAACTAAGAAACATTTAACAGAACGTTACTGTTAGAGAATAATGACCACATGCTTGGAGAAATGGTGGTTAACCAGACCAATGGTGCTCCTAATGATGCAGACTACCGTTAAAAGTTTGCCGTTGAACTCAACACACCTGACATGAATGACATTGTTTCAGAAAAGATGACACAGGAGGTGAAGTGTCGGTACCAGCGAGAGTCACCATCCAGCGCGAGGAAAGGTAGACCTTAACACATGACTCCCGCACACTGTCGCCTCCCTCCACCAGGCTAAGCCACGCCTTCTGGGAATAAATCTTTAAGCCATTTTTATCTTTCATAAGTTCTTAGTGATGCAATGTTATGATTTTTTTTTTTTTACTAAACTGGGTTCCCTTCGTCCTGTACTGTGGGTCTCCCCCCGTACCAGCACCGTGGGTCTCCCCCCCGTACCTGCACCGTGGGTCTCCCCCCCGTACCTGCACCGTGGGTCTCCCCCCGTACCTGCACCGTGGGTCTCCCCCCCCGTACCTGCACCGTGGGTCTCCCCCCCGTACCTGCACCGTGGGTCTCCCCCCCGTACCTGCACCGTGGGTCTCCCCCCCCGTACCTGCACCGTGGGTCTCCCCCCCCGTACCTGCACCGTGGGTCTCCCCCCCGTACCTGCACCGTGGGTCTCCCCCCGTACCAGCACCGTGGGTCTCCCCCCCGTACCTGCACCGTGGGTCTCCCCCCCGTACCTGCACCGTGGGTCTCCCCCCCGTACCTGCACCGTGGGTCTCCCCCCCCCCCGTACCACCTCCGTGGGTCTCCCCCCCCCGTACCACCTCCGTGGGTCTCCCCCCCCCGTACCACCACCGTGGGTCTCCCCCCCCGTACCACCACCGTGGGACTCCCCCCCCCCGTACCACCACCGTGGGTCTCCCCCCGTACCTGCACCGTGGGTCTCCCCCCCGTACCACCACCGTGGGTCTCCCCCCCCCCGTACCACCACCGTGGGTCTCCCCCCCCCCCGTACCACCACCGTGGGTCTCCCCCCCCCCGTACCACCACCGTGGGTCTCCCCCCCCCCCGTACCACCACCGTGGGTCTCCCCCCGTACCACCACCGTGGGTCTCCCCCCGTACCACCACCGTGGGTCTCCCCCCGTACCACCACCGTGGGTCTCCCCCCGTACCACCACCGTGGGTCTCCCCCCGTACCACCACCGTGGGTCTCCCCCCGTACCACCACCGTGGGTCACCCCCCCCCCGTACCACCACCATGGGTCACCCCCCCCCCCCCGTACCAGCACCGTGGGTCTCTCCCCGTGCCAGCATCGTGTGTCTCCCCCCGTACCTGCACCGTGGGTCTCCCCCCCGTACCAGCACCGTGGGTCTCCCCCCATACCACCAGCGTGGGTCTCCCCCCATACCACCACCGTGGGTCTCTCCCCGTACCTGCACCGTGGGTCTCCCCCCCGTACCAGCACCGTGGGTCTCCCCCCGTACCACCACCGTGGGTCTCCCCCCGTACCACCACCGTGGGTCTTACCCCCGTACCACCACCGTGGGTCTTACCCCCGTACCACCACCGTGGGTCTTACCCCCGTACCACCACCGTGGGTCTTACCCTATGAGCTTAAATCTACAATCATGAAATCTTCTCTCACGTCGCTTCCCTCCCCTTTCCCTGCTCTTCCGAGCTCCCTCTCCCCCTCCCCCTCTGGTCTGCTCTTCCCGGCACGACTGGTGGGCGTCGTTGATCAGGATTCCCAGTGGGTGAGAGCGGCCAGTTGTCTGGCGCAGACTTGTGCTGCTCCAGCAGCTAATGACGGCTGCTGCTGCTGCTGCTTATATTCCTAACATGAACTGGCTGCCTCTTCTGATAAGCTCACCATGGTCTGTGTTGTCTTCATTGAGAGAGACGGACAGACAGAATTAGAAATATATATATGTATATATATATATATATATATATATATATATATGCGAACAAGCCTGAATGGTCCCCAGGACAATATGCAACTGAAAACTCACACCCCAGAAGTGACTCGAACCCATACTCCCAGGAGCAACGCAACTGGTATGTACAAGACGCCTTAATCCACTTGACCATCACGACCGGACAAAATGAGGTGATAGCCGAGGCTATTTGAACCACCCCACCGCCGGCACTCGGATAGTAATCTTGGGCATAGCATTTTACCAAATCACCTCATTCTTTGGGGCACACGTGAGGAACACAAATGCGAACAAGCCTGAATGGTCCCCAGGACAATATGCAACTGAAAACTCATACCCCAGAAGTGACTCGAACCCATACTCCCAGGAGCAACGCAACTGGTATGTACAAGACGCCTTAATCCACTTGACCATCACGACCGGACAAAATGAGGTGATAGCCGAGGCTATTTGAACCACCCCACCGCATTTGTTCGCATTTGTGTTCCTCACGTGTGCCCCAAAGAATGAGGTGATTTAGTAAAATGCTATGCCCAAGATTACTATCCGAGTGCCGGCGGTGGGGTGGTTCAAATAGCCTCGGCTATCACCTCATTTTGTCCGGTCGTGATGGTCAAGTGGATTAAGGCGTCTTGTACATACTAGTTGCGTTGCTCCTGGGAGTATGGGTTCGAGTCACTTCTGGGGTGTGAGTTTTCAGTTTATATATATATATATATATATATATATATATATATATATATATATATATATATATATACATATATACATATATACATATATGACTGTCAGACCACGGAGGAAAAATGAAACAGGAATTTCCTTAAGTACTTTCGTATATTAAATACATCTTCAGAAGGACCTTCTGAAGATGTATTTAATATACGAAAGTACTTAAGGAAATTCCTGTTTCATTTTTCCTCCGTGGTCTGACATTGTCACATTTTTAATCACGTGTTTATTTTCGTGATATACACACACACATCTGCCGTCGTTAAACTTTCGTTTAACGTCCAATAGGCTCAGGAACCTTTACACCAGTTAACAGTTGAGAGGCGGGACCAAAGAGCCAGAGCTCAACCCCCGCAAGCACAAATAGGTGAGTGTATATATATATATATATATATATATATATATATATATATATATATATATATATATACACTCACCTATTTGTGCTTGCGGGGGTTGAGCTCTGGCTCTTTGGTCCCGCCTCTCAACTGTAAAGGTTCCTGAGCCTATTGGACTATCATATCTACACATGAAACTGTGTATGGAGTCAGCCTCCACCAGGGATGGTGGGGTAAATAGCCTCGGCTACCATCATCTTTCGAACGGTCGTGGTGGTCGAGTGGTTAAGATGTCTTGTTCCCCAGTTGCATAGTGCTCCTGGCAGTATGGGTTCGAGTCACTTTTGGGGTGTGAGTTTTCGGTTATATATATATATATATATATATATATTGACTGATATATATATATATCAGTCAATATTGTTAAACTTGTATTAGTATAAGCCCAGGGTACAGTCATGTCCTGGCCGGCAGAGATGGATGCCGACAGAATGAGTCTTACCAAATGCAGTCCGAATTATATTAAGCTGTCAAACAACCAAGTTGTTTTATTTATTAATTAAATTGTTGTGCTCGCTTCAGTTAATATGATGTTTTGTTTTTACTTTGCAGACTGGCCGTCCAGATTAGGAGAGGAAGGGCAGAGAGGCAGTCGAGTCCTACCAGGGTGAGGCAGAGAGGCACTTGACCCGGACCAGACAGGAGCACAGTTTACCTCTACTGGGGAAGAGCAGAGAAACAACTGACCTCTACCAAGGAAGAGAAGAAAGACAGCTGACCCCTACCGGACCGCACCGACCTTCCTCAAATACTTTGGCGTAAAAATCTGAGCCATTTCCGCGAGTCTCTTATAATTCAGCCAAACGTCGCCGTGTTCACCAGGAAATGATGGGGACGAAAGTTTAACGACGGCAGATATGGCAAAAGTTTGACTTTTCCGTCAGTTGGGTGAGACGACTTTGGCACACATGAGGGTCAAAGCCAGGAGGAATTTTCGAAAAAAAATCTGAAATGGAAACTTGACAAGGACTTTGGCCATATCGGCGGCAGAAGCGAGAAGGCGAGGGCTGCCGCATGCGGTGCCGAGGAGGGCACATTATCCCGCTAGCAGGATGCACGCAGCTAGAGATACTGTTGCTAGCAGGATGCACGCAGCCAGAGATACTGAGGCAGGTGTAATATACTGTTGCTAGCAGGATGCACGCAGCCAGAGATACTGAGGCAGGTGTGAGATACTGTTGCTAGCAGGATGGACGCAGCCAGAGATACTGAGGCAGGTGTAATATACTGTTGCTAGCAGGATGCACGCAGCCAGAGATACTGAGGCAGGTGTGAGATACTGTTGCTAGCAGGATGGACGCAGCCAAAGATACTGAGGCAGGTGTAATATACTGTTGCTAGCAGGATGCACGCAGCCAGAGATACTGAGGCAGGTGTGAGATACTGTTCCTCTGCTGAAGGTGATGTGGCTCATCGGGTCTGACAGCGTCACACCAGCGCCTAGAGAACAGTGTGTGGCAAGACACGATCATCTCCACTAGTGCCTAGTTAGATGGTTCTCTCCAGGCACCAAGCCAAGCCTGTGAGGCTCCCAACACTCACCTCCGCGATAGCTGAACACGGACAGTGAAACTTCACTAGTCTGAAGGAAGTCGTACAGAAGATGCGGATAATGGAGACCATAACAAATAAATGTAATAGTGTTTTATATATAGATTATAATTAATTCAAATGTCAACTTTATCATGAGAAATCTTAGTGGAAATTGAAGCCTTATATTTATATGCAAACACACAAAGTAGAAATTAGGAAGCGAGTGAAGTGCAGAGTTGAGGAAGATGAGCGGTCGAGGATGTCGCCGACCGTACGTCCGGCAGCGACGCGAGAGTGACGAGGGCGAGGAGGAAGGGTTCTTGTACTGCCTCATGTACTACTTCGGTGAGTTAATATATACTCATCACTACTTCGGTGAGTTAATATATACTCATCACTACTTCGGTGAGTTAATATATACTCATCACTACTTCGGTGAGTTAATATATACTCATCACTATTTCGGTGAGTTAATATATACTCATCACTACTTCGGTGAGTTAATATATACTCATCACTACTTCGGTGATGTTAATTATACTCTCCATATAATGTTACTGTATCATGTATGAGGCCAAATTTTATGCTATATTTTTTCTAATAAATTTCATTTATTAACATATGATACCATATCATGCACAATCAACTCCATAATATTTTTTTTTTTTTTTTTTTTTTTTTTTTTTTTGAGATATATACAAGAGTTGTTACATTCTTGTACAGCCACTAGTACGCGTAGCGTTTCGGGCAAGTCCTTAATCCTATGGTCCCTGGAATACGATCCCCTGCCGCGAAGAATCGTTTTTTCATCCAAGTACACATTTTACTGTTGCGTTAAACAGAGGCTACAGTTAAGGAATTGCGCCCATTAAATCCTCCCCGGCCAGGATACGAACCCATGACATAGCGCTCGCGGAACGCCAGGCGAGTGTCTTACCACTACACCACGGAGACTGCCCCCACTACACCACGGAGACTGCCCATCTATTATATATTACATCAGTAATTACAATATATTACATCAGTGAGTAGTATGTAATGGGACATTGCTTACATATTACCGCTACAATTAGAGTAAAATGGACCAGTTTTCAGTTCCATTGCGTGAATATTAAACTGGTCGTAAGTGCTCGAGGCTAACACTAGGCTTCAGGTTTGATCTGGACGGGTTCCTGAGGAAGGGTCGTTGGGCAGTTCTTAGTAAAGTGGGTAACCTGAAACCACTGATGGACCAAGACCACTGAGGGACCAAGACCACTGATGGACCAAGACCACTGAGGGACCTAGACCACTGATGGACCAAGACCACTGAGGGACCAAGACCACTGAGGGACCTAGACCACTGAGTGAACAAGACCAATGAGTCACCAAGACCAATGAGTCACCAAGACCAATGAGTCACCAAGACCAATGAGTCACCAAGACCAATGAGGGGCTCTGGGAACACATTCTAACAAATAACAATTAACTATATACTACATAGATGTGACACACACGGTCCATTACTAGGAGTGTTCAAGAGAACGTTCGGAGTGTTCAGGAGAACAGTCGGAGTGTTCTCACAAAATGGAACAGAAGAGAATGTACCAATAGACTCACAGATTGATGGGTCCGTGTTAGTGCCTCCAGGTCACCATGCTGTCTTAACTGGACTGTCCCCGTGAATGTCTGTCTCATAGGCTCACAGACAACCCCATGGCTGCCTGTCCCAGTGAATGCCCGTCTCACAGGTCGACCCCATGACTGCCTGTCCCAGTGAATGCCCGTCTCACAGGTCGACCCCATGGCTGCCTGCCTCACATGTCAACCCCATGGCTGCCTGTCTCACAGGTCGACCCCATGGCTGTCTGTCTCAGTGAATGCCTGTCTCACAGATCGACCCCATGGCTGTCTGTCTCAGTGAATGCCTGTCTCACAGGTCGACCCCATGGCTGCCTGTCTCACATGTCAACCCCATGGCTGCCTGTCTCACAGGTCGACCCCATGGCTGTCTGTCCCAGTGAATGCCTGTCTCACAGGTCGACCCCATGGCTGCCTGTCTCACAGGTCGACCCCATGGCTGCCTGTCTCACAGGTCGACCCCATGGCTGCCTGTCTCACAGGTCGACCCCATGGCTGCCTGTCTCACAGGTCGACCCCATGGCTGCCTGTCTCACAGGTCGACCCCATGGCTGCCTGTCTCACAGGTCGACCCCATGGCTGCCTGTCTCACAGGTCGACCCCATGACTGCCTGTCTCACAGGTCGACCCCATGACTGCCTGTCTCACAGGTCGACCCCATGACTGCCTGTCTCACAGGTCGACCCCATGACTGCCTGTCTCACAGGTCGACCCCATGACTGCCTGTCTCACAGGTCGACCCCATGGCTGTTTGTCCACAAAAGACCGTTACTATACCTGAGTGTTGAGAGTGACTACTTGCTTATATTGTTGATCTTGTCAACATACTTGTGCTTCAGAAGATGAAACGGAGCAACAAGTGTTCGGTTACGAACACTTCGGTTACGTTCGGTACAACAAGCCGGCCGGTTACGGCAGTCACAGACAACAATGTGTTACTGGAGATGTTAATCCAGGTCAGTGACTCAACTCCCAGGACCAGGTCAGTGACTCACCCACCTCCCAGGACCAGGTCAGTGACTCACCCACCTCCCAGGACCAGGTCAGTGACTCACCCACCTCCCAGGACCAGGTCAGTGACTCACCCACCTCCCAGGACCAGGTCAGTGACTCACCCACCTCCCAGGCCGACTGAAGAGGTCCACAAGCAAGGTAGTAGAGGTGAGAGGTGGTGGTAATAGTTCAGGTCACATCTGGCCTAAGCGTTGTATCCGGCTTCTCCAGGTCGTGGTCACCGGTGGTATATGATCACTTATATCTGGCCTTATAGCGCGTGTCTCAATAAAGTTACACAATCAACTTACTAAACATTACAATGTTTTTTTCCCTTAAGCAATAAAAGGAATATTTGCCTGAATTTGAATATATATTTTTTTATTTAAAGGGTCATTATTCATACTTTACGAGAAGAGTTTGGTGATGGTGCCACCCGCCTGTGGTTAATGTGCTGGTAGTGATGGTGCCTCTCACCTGTGGTTAATGTGATGATAGTGATGGTGCCTCTCATCTGTGGTTAATGTGATGATAGTGATGGTGCCTCTCATCTGTGGTTAATGTGCTGGTAGTGATGATAGTGATGGTGCCTCTCATCTGTGGTTAATGTGCTGGTAGTGATGATAGTGATGGTGCCTCTCATCTGTGGTTAATGTGCTGGTAGTGATGGTGCCTCTCACCTGTGGTTAATGTGCTGGTAGTGATGATAGTGATGGTGCCTCTCACCTGTGGTTAATGTGCTGGTAGTGATGATAGTGATGGTACCTGTCACCTGTGGTTAATGTGCTGATAGTGATGATAGTGATGGTGCCTCTCATCTGTGGTTAATGTGATGGCTGGAACTATATTTGTAATGAACTGAGTCACACTGAAGGAATGTTCAACTAAGTGATATAGACGGCCATATATGTAGCGGAATTTTTACTATAATAAAATGTAAGACGATGGAACAGCTTATCTGGCGCAGCTTTACGGCCAGAGACTTTGGCTGAGAAATACATCTTAACAGGAGCACACATGTCAGCGAGAGACAACCGTCCCCAGGACCTGGAGGTCGAGGGCTAATATTCTCCAGCTTTACACACGACTAAAAAGGTTTCTGAACCAAGCAAGTCGTGTTCTGTAGACTTCAGGAGACCCAACCGTGCCAGTATGTATAACGGTAATAAATTTTGGGAATTCGGCTCCGTGCATCACACCGTGCATGGAGCGGGAGGCTCATTGATCACCTCGACAGCTTCGAAATCCGGCCGCTCTGCACCAAACATGTTGCAGTATTTGGCAATAAAAAGTCTTCAGGTATTGGCATCAGTAACCCGTCTCAGTCATAGCTTTTGCGTCGTTGACTACTTTAAATGTTAGCAAGTATTCCTGGTGTGAATCAGAGGCAGTGTGCACCAGCCAGGAGCTATGTAGCATTTTGTTGGCATGTGTTACAGAGATCTCTAGCGGGGCTTATCGTAACCAAACAGATGCCTCGCCTGCCGAGCTTCCAATATATTTTGGCTCTTCTACGCAGAACACAGAATCACTTGGCTCAGGTTTCCATGCGTCTGATTCCCTTCCTTTGCAGTGCCTGATACAGGATACAGGAGTCAGGCCTCAAGATTGTCCTCAGACTGATTGATCACACCTTGATGGAAATTGGGAAGTTAAGCTAAGAGTTTTTTCCCCTTGAATTTGTTTAATAATTATTTTATCAAGTTATATAAATTACTTATAAATAAAATTCCTTTATCAGTATTTCTTCTCTCTCATGACAGAAAGTGAGTTTTGAATAAACAATTTTTTACACATAACGAAAATGAGACAAAAAATATACATTTAAATATTTTTTTCGGAAAGCAAAGGGTGTCATGTGACATTAGTGGCCACGTGCACACAGATGCAACACAACATTAGTGACCACGTGCACACAGATGCAACACAACATTAGTGGCCACGTGCACACAGATGCAACACAACATTAGTGACCACGTGCACATAGATGCAACACAACATTACTGACCACGTGCACACAGATGCAACACAACATTAGTGACCACGTGCACACAGATGCAACACAACATTAGTGACCACGTGCACACAGATGCAACACAACATTAGTGACCACGTGCACACAGATGCAACACAACATTACTGACCACGTGCACACAGATGCAACACAACATTAGTGACCACGTGCACACAGATGCAACACAACATTAGTGGCCACGTGCACACAGATGCAACACAACATTAGTGACCACGTGCACACAGATGCAACACAACATTACTGACCACGTGCACACAGATGCAACACAACATTAGTGACCACGTGCACACAGATGCAACACAACATTAGTGGCCACGTGCACACAGATGCAACACAACATTAGTGACCACGTGCACACAGATGCAACACAACATTACTGACCACGTGCACACAGATGCAACACAACATTAGTGACCACGTGCACACAGATGCAACACAACATTACTGACCACGTGCACACAGATGCAACACAACATTACTGACCACGTGCACATAATGGCCCTCTTCAAGACGAGCCAAAATGGTTGTGGTGGCGGGGGGGGGGGGGGGGCATACAGTGACAGTCTGCGGAGCTTAACGCCGCTCACTCATCACAACGCATCACAACGCATCACAACGCATCACAACGCATCACAACGCATCACAACGCATCACAACTCATCACAACTCATCACAACTCATCACAACTCATCACAAC